GAAGAAGTAAGGGACGGCACCTACCGCCTGGAAACTCTAGACGGCAGGCGCCTGCCTAGAACTTGGAATGTAGACAATCTAAAAAAGTACTACTTCTGAGAATGTAAACTTTTTGTAATAGTGAGTCAGTTAATGAAGATTCAGACTTTGTTTGCAAAATTATCGTTTGATTATCCATCCGGGTAATATCCAGGCGGATTCCCCATTTACCTAACTAAGTTCAATACTTAGTGAAGGTTACATTTGTTTGTCCGCTTGGGTAATACTCGGATCTCTTGTTTATTTAAGTTTGATACTTTGTTTATTCAACTGCTTGACTACCCGCCTGGGTAATACTCAGACGGATTCTCCATTTATCTAACTAAGTTTGATACTTAGTATGATCAAATATTTTCCTGTCCGTCTGGATATTACCCAGACAGACTCGTATGCTTAGTGTAAATTCAACACTGATTAAGAAACTAAGCACAAAAACGTTTAGTGGCTACACAACCGGTCTCAAACAGGATCAGAGGCTAAAATGGCCGGATGGTTGCTATTTTTATAAAATCGCCTGTCCCAACATGGACAAAGGCGTCCGGCGACACCCCTCTGTGTGCAATCTTCGCAGAGAACAGATTATCTGTCGGTTCTATGTATCCATGCAGACGACAAAAATTGAACGACCAAATTGGTCAACTCATAGCCGTCTGACTAAAATAACCTACAAAGAACGAATAAGTTCCTAAATACCGGATGCCCATTGGCATCAGTCGGTAACCGGGTGAAGTTCTCACCCCAATTGGGGCAAGAGTTCAATGGCTATGAAATCTCTACCAAGACGTGCATAAGTCGTCTGTGTAGTGACCGAAACGCCTGTTAGTGTACGGCTGTGCACTTGGTTTGGGGCAATCACTACTGTGATTGATTGACTTACAAACATATCATGCTCTTTGCAGCATCAGACGTTTTCAAGTCAATCAACCAGCTCCAATTGAAACCAATCACACAGCCGTCCAGGGGCAAGGACAGTCGGACTACTGACTAGTTAGGCAAGAAATCGCTGCATGCTTTTGATAAGATAGGCAAAAATTAAAAATTCAAATGCAAAATATTCAAAACCGACTTAGTTGGTGCAATTCATAAAAATCCGTCCAACCAAACGGTTGTAATGGATCAAATGTTAACCGGACCCCGTTCGGGAGAAAGAAATTGTTAATTAACACGGCTCCACAGCCGGTAAATACAAGAATACTCGGCACGCAGGCCAGAAAAAGCAAGTTTTGGCATACAACCACTGAATTAAAAGGAATTAAAAAAGCAAAGACTGGCATACTGCCGCTGAGGGGTCACTTCTGGCTTGCAGACGGTGCCTCCTGGTTCTCCCCCTTCTCCTCATCATCTGAGGGAATTTGGTGCGCTTCGCCGGGACCAGGAAGCTCAGGCGCGGTTGGCTCATTGTTGCTGAGCCAGGCTTCAAAGGAGGCAGGCTCTGGCTCACCTTGCTCTCTCAAGTACACCACGTACTCGGCATAGCTGTGTGCCATTGCCCAGATGCTATAATCAGCGTCTGGGTACAAGGCAGCCCAAGCAATCTTCATACGGGCGTCGTTGTCAGCATCACTCTCAGCAACAAGGCGGTTTTGCTCCGCCTCCAGGGTTGCTGTAAAGTTTTTCTGAGCTTGAGCAGCATCCTTCTCCAGCCTCTCAACCTTGGATTTCAGTTTGCCAAGGTCCGCCTGGGTCTTCTTGAGCGCCTCTTCAGCCTGTTTGGCGCTCTCGTCTGCTTTCTTCTGGGCCTCCTCCGCCCCCTTTCTTGGCCGTCTCAGCATTCGTTACCCGCTGGTCGGCCGCCTTCAGATCTAGCTCTAGCTGCTGGATTTTAGACGCCTGTGTCATAATTATTGCTTTAGTTTCAAGTTCATTTACGATAGTTGAGTGGAAAGCAATATTATCAGCGTCTATGGCGGACTTCTTGGCCCTTTTTACCTCTTCCCGTTTGCGGGAATAAGGACGTTTGAGCCCGTCCACCCGCAGCATGGCCTGCAAAGAGAAGTCGGTATAAGAATTACAGGCGGGATAATTACTTGGAAAAAATAACATTGAATTGACAAGTTTCTTACCTCAGCCAGAAGGGATAGAATGCGTTCAAGATTGAACGTCTCTATCCCAGGGATATTGTCCTTATCCCTCTTCCGGACGACATCCAGCATGGCCTTGGCGTGCTTCTAGACGTCTGGCCAGCGGGGAGATTGATCTGCACCACAATCAATACGTGATGAGTGCGAAACTAAGGCAGCACCTATCTGTTGTCGACCGTCTGAGGATGACGTCTGTTGGGAGTGGGATTTCACCCGTAAAGGCCACCCCAGCTCAAGCAGGGATTCAAAAGGGTTCTTACCTTCAGAGCCGGCCAAGCGGGAAACGCTTGCAGGCGTGGTGAACCCCGCGGCTGCTGAGGGGTTGGCAAGATCAAGGCACAGGCTGACGCCTACCTTCTCGAGTCGCCCCGCTATCCGCATCGTCTTAGCCCCGGCTGAGGCGCCAGGAGTTGACACAGAGGCAGACTTTTTTATTTTATTGAGAACGGCTGGGGCCTCCTCTCTAGCTCGTTTGAGATTCTTCTCAAACGATTTCCCAACTTCTCCCCCCTGTGAAAATAAACAAGTAAAGGTTAGTATCCGGGCAAGACAGTTTATAAAATAAACTTAAAGGGTCAGGCGATAAATACCTTGGCCCTGAGCTCGACCGCAGCTTTCTCCACAAGATCTTTGCGGATGGTCGCAGAAGACCGCTTGGGAGTTTTCTCCGACTGCAACATGTTTAGCGCTTCTTCTGCAAAAAGAAAGAAATTGATCAGAATCATAAATCAATTCCGATAGAAAAATACTACAGACGGTGTGAACCCAAGCGCATACGTTTATTAAACATGTGCCCTAGTCCGCAGGCGGCTAGGAAACATTCATCCCGGAACCAGGAGCTCTTGGGAATCCAATTCTTAGGGACTTTTATTGTTTCCCCGGTTGACAGAGTTGCGTCTGTGAGGCCGAAAAAGTCTGCCTCGATTATTTTGTCAAAGTCTTCCTCTAGGATCCGGGGAAGAGCGCACCTCCTGCCTAACAAGTTGGGCTTCTTATTGTACAGACGGAATTCATAATTTTCCCGTCTGGTTGGGGCTGACATCAGGTAGAACATGTGCTTCCAGCCATCGAACTTGGAGACCTTGTCCAAGGTCATCATGTATTGCGGCTGTGTGGTTAGAGTATACCACGCCCTCCAGCCGCCTGGGCTTCTGCTGAGGTAATGCATGCTTGCAAAGGCCTCCCAGCCGGGGTTAAGCCCTTGGAACTCGCAGGCGGCAACATACCCCAGAATGTTGGTCCAGGAGTTGGAGGTAAGTTGCCAGACCCCAAGGCCGTAGCCTCTCAAAATTGCCTTCACCGCCTTGTGAAGGGGGAAGCGAAGGCCGGCTTTGAACGCCGCCTCATAACAGCCAAAATAGCTGTTGGCGTTCTCTTGATCATCCCCCCACGCGATGGTGCCTAGCTCAGGCGGCACCCGGATCTTATACCCGTCTCCAAGCGGGTGCATTTTCTTAAAGTTCTCTAAGTTTTCCCCCAACTGGATTCGGTCCTTGGAGGAGACGTGGATGCTGAAGGGATCGTCCTTCTCACTCCACTTTTTCCTTTCTTCCTCCTCGCTATCCGGAAGAGGGGGCAAGTCATCGCTGCTCTCGGAGGTAGAGGCGGAGCTGTCGCTCTCCGTCTCCCCCTCACTTTGGTCCATGGGGGCAGAGGCGGCCTCGTCGCCGCCGTGGTCACACTCTTCCTCTTCCAAAAAAGAGTCTGCAGGGGTTGAAGGGGCGCGCGGAGGGGATCTCTCCAGAGCCGTCTGGTTTCCCTGACCAGACGTTTCTCCCTCAGGCGTTTGGCCGCCTCAGCCTTCGCTCTTGTAATTCGGGTCCCTGGCCGTCTGCATTATCCGAGCCATGGTGTCCTGCACAGACACATAACTGGTCGGAATCCATGGCAAAGGGTGGTCCCAACACCCCGAGCCGGCACTCCCAGTCCTAGACTCAGCCGACCCTGGTGACCGGCTGGACTCTAACCAAGGTTGTGCCGTGTGTGTTGGTGATGCATCCATTTATTGCAAGAAATATGTACAAGCGGTGAAAAAAGAAAAGAGCTGAGAGAGACAGAGACAATACCTTTTGATTTGGTATCTGAACGTAGACGGGACCGGCTGTATTGCTGAAGAGCAAACTTTCTTGCCTCAAACAAGTGACTTCTGCTCTCTCAGAGTTTTTCTCTCTAGAAAATTTTTGTAAACGTACAAAATTATGAGGGTAAAACGGCTATATATAGAGGGTAAATTTGGGGGCATTTCCGTAAATTACACGGAAGGTGAACGATTACTCTGTAACGGTAAAATTACCGCCAACCAGAGCGTGACATGTGTCGCAGATGCCACATGGCGTGCCACGTCACATCTGTGAGGGGCAAATGTTTAGGGTAATTTTACCCTGCCACGTGGCCCAATCAGAAGGTGACACGTGTCACCCCCAGATTGGTCTAAAATGGACCAATCCCTGCAAAACACGTGTCATTCCCGAAATCAAGGGAAAAGGCGGCCTTCAGGCCCAAATCCCGAGAATGCCGCCAAACGGCGCAGCCCACCAATGATCAGGGTTCAGTAACCTAATCAGGGGCACAATTCCCAAAGACCCTATAAATAGGGAGATGTCCCTCATGTTGAGGGCACGTTTTATCATTTATTACACATTTTACTCTTTGATAGAGACATCCTGAGCTTGGAATCCGAGCAGATCCCTACCTAAATTTCCGCACCTTTTTTCTCCCTTCAAGTTTCTAACTTGTGCGTCGGAGACAAAGCACCACCCAACTGGTGTCTCCGTTTGTTTTGCAGGTACAGCTCACCCCGGATCAGTCTTCGTGTTGTAATTCTCCCGAGGGACAAAAACACCCGAAACAGCTGGCATGTATTACTACAATGTTGGTCAATAAATTAATTTCGCACTCCTTAATTCTCACCAAAATCGGTTATGATCTCTCTTATCTGACCAGATCGCACACCACCACAACGCACCGCCAGTCATCGTAGCACATCCCTGACCGAGTATACAATTATGTATATGATTTTGGTTTGCAGCAAGATGACGAGACTTCTCTCATGGTTGGAAGAAGGTTTTAATATCTAGTTGATGAATAACACTTTCTTGTGGATGAACAAGATGTTGATGTATTGTTCTTTGTTCTTTTCTATTGATTTTTGATGTTTTCTCTCTATCTCTCCTGATTTCAACTAGTGATTGTATCTCTTATTTTTTAGTAAAAGACTTTTTTATGATTTGTGGTTGCTGTTTAGAAGCAAAATATAAAGGACCATGCCTCACTAATCACTATCGACCTCACCCAAATCGACTAGGACTCTATAAGATTTTAATTTTAGTTTTTTATTTTAATTTGTTAAGTTTGTGTAAAAGTTTTACCTTGATAATTGAATTGAAGTAGTGATGATGAAGTACTAAATTTTGGATGGATTTTGATATGGAGTTAACTATGAAAGATTTATTGTGTTTGGATACGATTTTTTCTAAGGTTGTGATTATCTTACTATAATTCCCTTTACATTTCAGGTCACTTATATTTCTTCTTATGGGTTCTACTTTAGATTTTTTTCAAACAATTAGGATAAATTTAGAGTCTTGTTTGCTAATTTGTAAGCCTTTTTGGAATAATATTTGGTAATTTAGAGTAATTACCATTTTTTGTCATTTATAATGCTTGTGCCCATTCTGTTGTGTTGTCAATGGTTAGGGTTTCAAATTCAGAATTCTAAGCTTCAATAATAGTGTTTCTTCTTGTTATAGCTAATGAGGAGATTCCTTTCTCTACTTTGTCGAATTTCGGGGCGAAAGACCTCTACTTAATCTTGTAGCTGGTGGTCTTACTAACATCATTTAATTTAGCTTAATCTCGCCTTTTAAATCTAGCTTACTTTAAGAACTCACTACTTGCATTACTTAAACTAAGTTACATTCTTTCACTTTTTCCAGCTTCCTTAGTAAGTGAAATTTAAGTTTCTAGATCACAAGTTATTAAAATTTCCCATTAGAGTAACAAGTTTCACTTTGTAGGACTGCCTTACGAGTTTTCTTATGCTCATGTTGAAATGCAGGCTAAATCACTTTTCTTTTTACTTGCAGAGTGACACCAAGAAGATATTAGTTGTGTCCATATTCTTTGAGACCATGCCATATAGATTGGATGAGAGCACAGGTTACATAGACTATCATCAGGTACTCTCTTTTTGAGACTCATATGCTCCATGTTACAGGGAAAAAAAAAGTTTTAGGCCCATTAGTTGTTGTGTTCCATGCTTTTCTGGTTTCTCTAACGTAATCTTGCAATTCTTGCAATGAATTATTGTTCTATTTTTTTAGTATATGATGGTGTTGATGAAAATAATTATGTTGCAGGGAAATTCTTTAAGATATTGTTTAATTGCTGAAATTGCTTGATTCCTGAAATATGATGCATATGATGGTGTTGATGAAAATAGTTATGTATTTTGGGTTTATTTTGACGGTATTAGAAATGGTTTGTAGTAATTTTGCTTAAATTTTGCAAAAAGAAATTAAATGTTGGGTAATTTAATCATAGGCTCATCTCTTCTCCATTGAAATGACTTTTAAGCTTTCTTTGATCCTGCATTGAAGTAATTGAAGCAACATGCTAGGTAATTTATTTTAAATCATCAAATTCCCATTTCAAAATCTAGAGTTTCTTTAATAGAGTCTATATATTCAATTTTCTATATCCGAAATATAAAATTAGACATAACTTGATGATGGGTATGAAGATAATCTCACTTTCTATACTCTATTCAAAACACATTTAAAGCATCAACTTTCTTAAGAAGAAAGATCAACTTCTGCTTCATTTGACTGCCCTATCCTTATTTCGCCAATTCCTCAATAATTGACCAAAATTATTGTTTCTGAAGTGTCAAATATGTGTGATTTTGTTTATCTGGCAGAGATTTCCTATCTTCACATGATTTTTTGGGTTTATAACACTTTTTTGGGTGTTATTTTTTGTATAAAATGAGACCATTTTATCTAAGCTAGTAAGGGTTACTTTTACATGCCTTACTCGTACGACAATTGCAAGGTGCCTACCTTGCCATTTCAGTTTCCCCTTAACTCTGTATTATTTCATGATCCTAGATTTGTTGATCCTTATCAATAATTATCATGTAAATAAAACAGTATGTATATTTGTCTATCATAAGCTCTTCTTTTTTTTTTTTGGTAAATATCATAAGCTCGTCTTTGATATTTGTTTTGGGGCAATCTATGTAGGCAGCAAATATCAATGCTGATACTGAAGCCCAAGAATCAATGGTAATGAATATCATCTTTTGAAGAATGAATACCCCAGCCTAGAGTGCGCTAAATATAGTGGTATTAATGCTATGGTGCTATTTCTGTCTACTACTCTTTTTGTTATGTTATTATGTTCTTAAACAACATTCTCCTTCTTGCACCCTTTTTACACGGTTGTCTACAAATTCAGAAAATACTTGCTAATATGATATTTACCTGAATTATGTATTAGTTGATCAACTTATTTTTTAGCTTTGTGAATCACGCGTTTCATTCTAGACTTTTCCATTGCCTCTTTGTTTTTTTAGTTAGGGGTTGGATGGACTGGTAGAGAGTCAAAGAAATTGATTATATTTTCTGAAAATAATTTCTTATTTTTTTTCTATCCATTTTTGCAGATGCTTATGTTTTGTAAAAATAATGTCCACTTTTGGTTTATATTATTCTTTAAATTTGATGCTGTAATGTTTTCCCAAAGACGAACTTACATGAGATGTACTGTTTGAATTGAAAGGTAAGGTTGCTAAACATGTACTAGAGGAAGTTGCAAAGGTAATTTTTTCTAACTTTGGGTGTTAGTTAGTTCCTAAACATGTTTACCTAAAATAACTAACATGTACCCCAAGGCGTTCGTTAATTTAAAGCTAATTAAGTTAGTTCAAAAGAAAAAAAATAAAAAAAAAAACTTAAAGCTAATAGCTAGCTCGATATTATATTGGTGAGAATTTATTTTAGTAGCATCATGTTGAAAACGATCGATGTGATGTCGAAAATGATTGATGTAAGCATTAATTGGTTTAGTAAAAATTGATAGAATTATTTAAGGAAAAAAAAGTTATATGTTGGTAATATTATTTCAGAAATATTTAACAGAAAACTAACTCAATTATTATTATTTCATAAGATTTCAAATCAACACCATGAATAGAAATGTTATTTTCCCCATTGAACCCCACTATTGTACAACTATATAGTGGTAATATGAATGTTAATATACTTCAAATATGTTATTGGAGTAGCTTTCATTATGTGATTTTACTCATTACTCTTGAACCTGCAGGTCCTAGGAGTTATCACAATTCTTAAGATTACCAGGTAGATATAGCTAACCTTCATTAGAAATAAAATGTTTAAGTGACTACATATTTTGACCACATAGTTTGTATATATACTAAATTATCTGCATCCAGTTTTGTGTCTGTACTATACTCTATATGAGATAGCTGCAGCTTCATGTTTAAGGTTGATACATGATATCAAGCTAACCAATGCTATGTAATTAATATATAGTTGGAAAAGTAAATAGTCAGATGTTCAACACAACCTAAAAATTGTTATCAACACTTTCTCGGCTCTGTCATAGCATTGTGTCTAAAATTCAGATGTTCAACATTAAACTTTTAAATATCAAATTTAATTTTTGCTGCTTACTATCTCTTATTTGGGTTTATCTTGCATAATCTTCATCTAATTTTCCTTACTTGGTTTACTTCTTGTTAATATTGGTATTTGAGCATTTAGGGTTTTTTTAGTACAATTTTTGCAGAGGACGTTCGGGGGAGCACCTAAGAAGAGCGATAATACTCGCTATTATGAAGTTTTAGGAGTTCCTAAGACTGCTTCTCCTGAAGATCTTAAGAAAGCTTATAAGATAGCTGTCCTTAAGAATCATCCTAATAAGGGTGGTGATCCTAAAAAGGTAACTTATTTTGATTTGTTTTGGGAATTTGTTGTTTGTTTATTATTATTTATTTTTTGTTAATTGTTCTAGGTTTAGGGAATTTCCGATTTATGTTTGTTAATTGTTCTAGGTTAGGAAGATGTTTGATTTATATGTGTTTTTTCTTTTTGATTTTTAGATTTTGATCTTTTTAAGTGATTTTTTGATTGGTTTCAATTGGGTATGTAGATTTATATTGTTGATCTGATCTGCCTGCTGAATTTGGTATTTAGTGCGTTCCCAAATTGGAAAATGAAGTTACTTGGAATCGTGATTGTGTGTTTAAGCTAGATTCGGACTCAATTCAGTGGAAAAGGATTAATTTGAATAAGTTTTGGATTTTATGATATGAATTTGGCATATTTTAGGGTTGTTTTAGACGTATTGAATTGATTTATGTACAATGTAAATCTAACTTCAGCATAGAGAGAAATTGAGTAACTTGGTACACATAATTTGGCAAATTTTAAGATTGTTTTAGCTGTATTAGATTGATTTATGGACAACGTAAATCTAAATTCAACATAGTGATAAAACTAATATCATCGTACACATTATTTATACTACTAATCATCGAGACTATACGAACGGTTTTCCCGTATCAATGTCGATTTGTGGAGAAGAGCACAGGGCTCTAAGCCGAGTGCAGGGAGTGAATAGGTATCGAAGCAGGCAAAACCCCACTTCTTGCACTGAGAATCAACCATGGCTGTGTCGCTATAATTAGTTTCTTTTGCACTTCACACTACACTACCGCCACCACAATTCACTCCATTGCATTCACCCCAATGCAGAAGACCCTAGACACTATAATCTGATAATTGTGCCTGGTCCATTGGAAAAAGGGAGAGAAAGTGAAAATCTGGTGTTGGGATGGAAATTGTAAGAGATTTCTAGGTGACTTTTGTATAGTCGCTAAATAGTAAATACTCTTTAGTTTTTTGCCTTGTAAGTGATAAAATATTGTTCTTTAATTGGAACTTTGTGATTTTAGTAATGGGTTTGTCGAAATTGTTGATATGGTGGCTGAGTTTTGGTAGATTTATTGCATTAGTTGAAGTTTAGTATCTTGTGTTTGTGACTCTGTGGTTATGATTCGCTTTAAAGATGCATTTTCCTGATTTGGCTGGTGCTATTTGAGTTTAATTCAATAAATGTTATTATGTTGTATAGTACGTACTATACAATATTGGAGACATGGGCTGGAGTGGAGGTGACAACATCCGTTGGTTTTGGATAGTGTACATCAAAAAGCGGTGATTTTTCATAATGGGGTATGAAGGAAGCTCATCAATGATGTCATCTGCGACAATTTTGTTTTTCTATTGCCAATTAATGGGGTATTGGTTACTCTCTTGTCAACTAATTAAATTTTTTTCAATGTAACTTTGTTTTGTATTTTTTTCCTTAAGATTTTCATTTTTATTGAGTTTTTTGATATGTGATTAGATGGAATGTATGATTGTTTTCAATAGAATAGCTACAGCTTAGACTAATGTTCTATAGGAAAATGTCCATGGAAAAACATTCAACATACAATAAATTTGCCTAATTTCAAAGAGTTGCGTTTTCTTTAATGTAATAAATTCACTAAAAATTGTCTAATTTCAAAGAGTTGCGTTTTCTTTAATGTAATAAATTCACTAAAAATTGTCTAATTTCAAAGAGTTGCGTTTTCTTTAATGTAATAAATTCACTAAAAATTGTTATATACATGTATTAACTATTGTAGGCAGGCAAATGAGTTTCATTTTTTAGCGTAAGTAATAAGACGTTTGCAATTAGCTTAGTTTAAAAGTATTACCAATCGTTGCCATTAAATGTTTTAAAGTGTAATTGTAGACACCCATTTGTGTCTCCCCAAAATCAAACCCGGTGATGAGTACCTTTCACATCGAATCATAATCGAATGAAGTGAAAGTGTGGAAAGTCTAGTGGTGCGGATAGTTTTACTTTATTTTCTCTTCTCTCTATTTTTGAAAACCTATATTAAGAAAACAGTCAATCCAGTTTGGTTGGTTCATAGAAAGGGTCCAATAATGGTGTAGTTGGATGGGGCTTGAAAAGAGTTTTCCAACAATATATTATAAGTCCAATTTCGATGAATAATGAGGAAGTTATGGCCAAATTACTAAACTTGACCCGGTTTGATACTTATTTGCGGCCCAATGTTCTAAAGGAGGGCCTAATATGGATTTATCATTGCATTAGGAATGGTTTTAGTCTTCTAGATTGTTCTGGAAGGTTCTTTTCATTCCTAATTTAATTACCATTGATAAATTGACTTTTGTTGACTTTTTGAAGTTTTAATCAAAATAAAAGAGTGTGTTTAAGGAAAATACGATTTTATCTTCCTGTACGGCTAAATTTTATCTGAATTTAGAAAACGCGTAAAAAATTTGATTAGCGCCTAACGCCAGTCATTAGCGCCTGACGATAAGCCTGGCGCCTAGCGCTAGCGTTAGCGCCTGGCGCTAATGTCAGCGCTTGGCGCTAATTTCGTTTTTTCACGTCAAAACTCTGATTTTTTTTTTGGCTGATTTTCTCTATAAATAGCCTTCTAAAAACTCCGTTTTCAATCATCTACAATAATCTATAATCACCTATTCTTTAATTCTCTAATTCTCTTCTCTCTCTAAGCTAAAGCTTATTCTTTCTCCCTCTTTTCTAAACCAACCTTTATACAAAATTCCGCATTCACAAGATCAAGAAACACCTAGCATTATTCGAAGTTGCCTTCGCCCTAAACGTGAAAGGTTTTAATTTCTTAGGGTTTGGTCCCAAATCTCTATTTCAATTATTTAATTTAATTGTTTGATAATTATTTTCCTTGAAGTTACCAACGTGTGTATTTTGTTATTAGAAAGAGGTACGAGGCATCCAAGTAAGTGCTTTAATTGTTTTATTGATATTATGATATAGAAATCATGCTTAGATTGTTATTTTGATTCCTAGTATCATGTTAAGATGTTTTCCTTAATTTGATGTTCAGAATGACAACAATAAGTTCCTAGTATCATATTTAGGGTAATAACTAAAAATTCCTAATATCAAGTATGATTAAAAGTGTGATGCTTCCTATTCTCTTCCTAATATTCATGTTAGTATCATGTTAGGGTTAAAGCTCTAATCTTTATTGTTCAGTGACATGCTAGGGTTTGTTATTAATCTTGTTAGTATCATGCCTAGGATTTTGCTATTAATATTATTCTTTAACATGATTATGATAATTATTATGATTATTGTTATGATTATTTATTTTGTTGCTTGATTATATTTATTGTTATTGCTTGATCACACCTTTTATGCATGCTTAAAGGGAATTTGTACTTGTAATCACGCTTATATAAGATAATTAATAATCTTATTTAGGGTTAATTTCATTATAATTCAAGTGATCGCCAATAATCTTATGAGTATTTTTTATTTTTTTTCCTTTAATGAGAAGATAACATATTATCCAAATCTTATGAGTTTTGAATATGGAAGTGATAAGTCTATTTTTTATATATATTTATTCTCTGTCCCACGGTCATATTTGTACTTATTTGAGCTCTACGGAGCTATTTTTATTACTAATATACGTTTTCTGGTGTTTTTGTAGAGTTGATATTATTTTGTAGGAATTTGAAGAATTATGACGATTCCCGAGATTTAGTTTATGATTAGCTTTCTTACATTCATTAGCATAATGTCCTAGTTCTCCACAAGACCAACACTTGCATGTTTTCTTTTTCTCAGGACAATATGTTGCCTTTCTGAAAAACCTACTTAGCTTTCTATATCTATGTTTATAATATTTCTTCATATAGGTTTCTCCTCTTGATCGGTCAAATTTATTATTCTTATAGTTCCTTCTTTTATTATAATTTTTTCTTTCACATCCATAATTATTTGGGAAATCCCAACAAGTGAGAAATTGTCTTTTCATTTGTTGAGTTCCTGCAACCTCTCTACATTTATTTTCAATCCATTTTCTAAAGAAAGCAATTCTGTTACCTAGGGAATCCCTAGCTAAAAATCTCTCTCTCCATTCTTGATATTTTTCACTAATTTCTTCATTAAGAGGACTGGGTAATTTGTCATAGAACATTCCAAGATTTGTTTCATTTTCACCAATTTTATAATAGTATGTTTCAAATTCCATAATGTAATCATCGACATATTTCATATTACAGATGGACAAATTACTTAACTTCCTTTTATATTCTATTCGTTTTTCATTAGGATCTGCTCTAGGTCCAATAAATTCTATCTCAATGTATTGACATAATTGTCTGAACATTCTAGTAGGTGATTCACTAGCTCTTAATGCAGTTTTGACTTCTTCCTCTATTCTATCGTACCAGTCTTCTACACAGCCATAAAGACTATGTTTGATATAGTTTAAGAAATTTTCTAAAGTCCAGTCAGTGTTTAAATTAAGTACACTGCTCATACTCTTCTTTCATTGATCTAAAACATCTTGTCTATCTCTTACACCGTCTAGCTTAAGTTTATAACCAGTTTGACTTATAGGTTCAAGAGTCATTTCTTCTTGTATAGGTATATGATTAGGCATAACCTTGACACTAAACCGGGTAGTCTTCCCTGGTATGTATCTTGGTCGATCTTGTGCAACTTCCTTCTCCTTGATACCTAGGTCTTTGGATGACATTGTTTACGTTAATGTTTTCATTAATAATTTCCTCTCCAACATCATTATTATCCATTACTCTTTTTCCTAGTTTGTTTTCAATATTTTTTCGAACAACTTCTATGGGCAGAAAGTCTAGATCATTTAACTTCATTAATCCCATTTGTTGATATAAATCTTCCTCTAAAATTGCATAATTATTTTCCTTTATTTCATTATTAGAAGTAATCCCTTTGTTAGAAATTAATGTCATGATTTTGTTAAGCTTATTAGGGTCTTCTTCTTCATCAAATAGGACTTGTAATTCGTTAAGTGTTTTCTCCTGAACATGAGGGTTCATCTTTAGTCTCTTTTTTCTTTTCTTGGTCACTAGTTGGTCTTTTAGGGAGTGTTACAGTAAACTTTTTATTTTTATCTAGATTTTGAAAAGGATATTTATATTTATATGGGACAATTTTCTCTTTATTAGGTGATACTTCTTTTCCAAATTGACGCCTAACTTCGTTTGTTAAAGCAAGTTGAACTTGTTTAACTTGTTCATTTAGATCGCTTACCTTTTTATTAATATCGGTTGTGGTTATTGATATCTTATTTTCGATATTAATACAACGAGCATGTATGTTATCAACTTCCGATTTTAACTCACCAATTTGATCTACTATATAATTAAGGATTGGGCCAAAATTACTAGTATTTTCATGAATATGATAATAATGCTTAAAATCAGGTTTCTTACACTCAGTAGAGGGTCTAGTATTCTCCAGTTTTACCTAATTATTAAATCAACTTATTTAATCTTTTAACCGTATGACTCTGATACCAAATCACACAGCTTAACAGTTTCTAATTTATAATAACTGTATTGTCTTCCTTAATAACAGATTTCACTTGTATAATAACTGTAGTCAAACATAATACTTAATTTTTAACACAAATACTTATCCTTTTAATATATAAGTACTATTGAAAAGATCAAAATAACACCTCGAAAACAATATTGAAGAAACATATAACAATATTTAATTTTATTTTAACAGGCTAGAACTTAAAATTACAGTATTAAAATAGGAAATAACTTTTTTCCTACACTTAGCGAATTTTTTTTTTCAACGGTGCTATGGACCTTCCTAGTCCCTACCTGGTGGTGGGCAATACTTTCTCAAACTACTTATCATTTATCTCAAACTACTTATCATTTATCTCGTTATTTCATGATATAAAGAGACGACAAATCTTACAAGTTACAACAACAATGTTATTTAATATTTTCATATAAATAATTCCTTTTTTTTCTTTAACTTCTTTTGTTTCATTATTTATGTGTGTAATTATTTCAAAAAATATATATTTATATGCGTAATTACTACATATTGGATCAAATATCTAATCATAATCAACAACTATGAGTGTAAAGATAGAATTTTTCATAAATTGTAAAATAATATTATATATATGTGTGATGACTATGAATTCCTACTCATAAAAAGTGTATTATTACCTAACTTTATGTTATTCTTAATAATAAGAAATTATGAAGCATCTGATATTATGTATGTACTACCTCCCATTTAAGTTAAAAAATTAATATGCAAGCATTACCCAATAGAGTCGTCCTATATAGCATTTAGGATCTGCTGGCAAATCTAAAAGAGAGAAAGAGTGGGTCACTTAAAATTGGTAAATTGTGTTTAATCTGAGTTGTTTATGGCCCCCTCACCTCTCTATGCTCTATCTATTGCCTTGCAAAGACAAACCACCCTTGAAAGGACCACTCGTCTTCTTCTTATGCTTTCTTTTACTTTTAACCTTTACTTCATTAAATAATCCATTGTGTTCTTTTTATAGTTTTATCTACGGACTTTTCTCATTCTTCTATATATAAATTAGGGTTAAGGGGAACCAAAATGTATAATTGAAAATTAAAATAATAGACTTTTTAAGTTTGATTATTAATGAGAAATTACCTATTTAAAAAAAAAGGTGGTACTTTACATCTCTCTTTTCTCTCCTCTCTCTTTAGGGTTTTAATAATTTTTTTGGCCGCTTAGGCCAGAAATAGTCTAATTTTTTACCCTTTTCTTTAGAGAAGCTTTGGCGTGAGATTGTTTAACGTGAGTTTGGTTTATAAAGCACTCACCCATTCCACACCCACTACCTAGCCATCTGTCAGTGGCCGACGAACACCCCCCCTCCCATCCTCAACTCCATACTCGTAGTATCGTCCACCACTCGCCTAGCAAAAATCCCTACTCATTGCTCCATCCATTGCACACAGCACGCACCAATCAAACAACTCTTAGTTGCTACTCCACCCTTGCTTCAAATGTTAATTCTTTATGTTCAACTTTTGATGTGCACCCTTGTTTAATCTATTTTACTGCTTTGGTTCATGCTCTGTATTTGATTGTTGATGGAAAATTTTCATTTTCTCTTAGTCCTTCGTGCAAACTGCAAATATGGTTTAGATGGTAGCGTGATTTTCATTTGCTTATCACTTGCTTTCACGGTGCATAATAATCATTTGGTCATGAAGTTCTGTTGCTGGTTTTCAGATCACTAAATGCAATAAGGCTTTCGATTGCAGCATCTGTGTATTTACCGAATATATGTCTAATATCTGATCAATATTGTCTAATATCTGATTAATATTGTCTGATATCTGACAATTATTATCTAATTTCTAACACTTTCAATCTAATATATGATATTTATAACTTAATATCTGACCATTATTATCTAACTTTTTTACAATTAAGAATTTTTTTTTCTACTTATATGACCGGACTCACGTGAATCCGTTCGACAAAATACTATAACTTTTCTTTGACTTAATTCGTTTTTTTTTTGTTCTCTTCGTCTGTGAGTGCCCATCCCAATTTTTTGTTGGGTTTTGATGAGTTCGACCCATAGTAGAACGAAACCCGACCCTAAAATAAAACTCACAATCACTACTATAATTTCCGTATTTTTTGGATTCTTTTACCTCGACGTTGTGGTACTAGCGTCCATGTATGTATATATATTCCGCTTATTGTCGACGCTTTTTAAGTCACATGACCCGCTCATGTCCCTAGAGTTAAACCGCCTAGGTCAGATCATTAGAGTTGCTAACTTGCTACGCCACATCTATTTTTCTGTTCTCTACTCAAATTCATTCTAAAATCTAAAATAATCTCTGATTAATTCATCAGTCGTTTTAAATTTGTTCTGGAAATTGTGGGAATTTTCTTCTTCAACTAGTCAATTTCATCGATTAATAATAGAGGTAAACTTTCTTGCTTTTCCTTAATCGGTGGTTCGAATTTCATCTAGGGTAAGTATAATGTTCGAATTTCTCATGAATTTTCTTTAATCTTTGGTTGAAATCGGAAAATATTTGGCCTTTTAAGGTTCTGAATTTAAAGAGAACAAGCATCGCCATACCGATACATCTAATAATTCATTGACGGCGCATCAGGTAATTTTCTGCACTTAATTAGATACTTAAGCGTTTTTTAGTTCATAATTCGTGCTTTCAATTTCTAAATTTATTGTTCCTTAAATTTTCATTTTTTTTTAAAAAAAATGGATCGTTTGTTTGTTTTATGTCTATTTATATGGCTTGTTTGTTTGGATTTTCTAAATTTTCTCAGCATATGGTAAAGGTTTTTTCATTAATTGTTTTGTTTAGCTTAATTTCCCCTTTTAATTTTGCCTAATTTTCATCTGCTTTGCTATAACCCAGGCAACCGATTTAACGAATGTTTTGGGTTTTGTCAATTTCTCATTATTATATGCTTATTTTGCCAATTTTGATTCTGTTCTGCTTAATTTTGTTGAATTTCGTGGTTGAATGCATTTGCATTTAATTAATTGATCTAAAACCTTTTTTTTAATAGCAAAAATATTTCATTAATTAAAAGTCATACGACATCTACAATAGAGATTCGACGTTAACAAATACATAAGATATTGAATCAAATAGAATTTTCCTTCATAAAAACTACGGTCGTCGAGTAAATCTTGCACTGGTGAGCATCTCCCGCTTATATCGCTGAAAATTACAGCCTTGTTGGAGAGACAATCTAACGATCCTTTGTAGCCGTGAGGATGTTTTCCTTCTGATTCATCTGTTCGTATTCGAAAACTTGATAACTTTTTCACCAACGAAATAATTTCACGACAATCCATTAGATATGCTACCATGGATTCAAAACAAAGAAATTTCTCCCTCAAAAAGAAAAGATAAACCCTGTCTTTCGAAGAAGGACGAAAAACCCTTGTCTTTCGAAGGAGATCATAAACCCTTTCTTTCGAGGGAGAAAAGTTTCTCCCAAAAGGAGGAAGCATTATTATAAACCTAAAAAACAATAAAGAAACAAGGATTGGGGCTTTCCACCGATTAAAATCGATGGAAGCCCCTTAAAAAATCAACAATGGAGGATAGGGTTTTCAAGAGAGAAAGGAGGAGAGAGAGATCATTACAATAAATTATTGTTCTATAACCTAGCAAGTGTGCTGAACCATGTTGCCGATTATTTCCATGCAAAGTTCTGGAGTTGCCGGAGTTCAGACTTGGGTTATTTATTTTGCATCTTTACTTTATGTCGTAGATGCGATATTTTCTCCAGGGAGGAGCTAATGTCGTACGATGTGCTGCCCTAGGTTGGAGGGCTTTGTAATTGGAGTGCTCTTTTATGCTGAACCATTGTTTGAGATGGACTTTTCGAATCATCCAAGTTCGTGGCCGGCTTACTGTCGATGATGATTTAGTCTGCCACATGGTCCAAACAAAAAGAAGATGCCACCTCCTGATGTGGCTTGCATCTTGCAAGCATTTGCTACCTGCATAGGAGGATGGTGCTTCTTCTTGCATGATCCTCTGTAACTCATAATAGCGTAACTTAGGAACTTTTTAGCTCTTTTACTCAGCACTCTTGTGGTTTTTTGCTTTTATAGTTACAATAGGCTTTATTTTTTACTCCTACACCTATTCAGGCACAGTCATGGCCAATTGCAATGCAAGGTCAAGATATTGTGGCAATTGCTAAGACGGGTTCTGGAAAGACCTTAGGCTATCTTCTTCCAAGTTTTATGCATCTCAAGCAGCGCCGCAACAATACATAAATGGGACCAACCGTGTTAGTACTGTCACCAACAAGGGAATTGGCAACACATATTTAAGATGAGGCTGTGAAATTTGGGAGGTCCTCCAAAATATCTTGAATGGTATGACATGATATTTGTTTCTATTAAATGTATTTAGGTTGTCTTGCTTGATTATTTTTAGTGAGGGCACATCTACTTAATTGGAAGTTGAACATAAATTTTGTTTTTTCTTTTGATATGTTCTTAAAATAGGAATCTCTTTAGTCTATATTTTAATGTATATAACAGTATGCTTTTTCAGTTTTTGTTTTCAAAACTTGATCTTCGAGTTATATGAATTACTACTATTTCGAGTAGATTTTTGGGGATGAATTTGATAAAATGGTCTGGGTCATTGTTGTGGTAAATTTTGGTTGGAGTCGTATGCCATTTTATATTGTTAATTTTTCATGAGTATCTTTTTAGAAGTACTGACTGGTAACCATGTCAATCTCACTCCCATACATATACCTTGTGCTTGCTTATTTGTGCTGCTGTAATCGATTATATATGGAATTGTTTCATCTCATAAAGTTATTCCCTTATTTAATCCTGCGGTGTTTGTATGGAGGGGCACCCAAAGGCCCACAATTGAAGGAGTTAGATAGAGGAGTAGATATTGTGGTAGCTACACCTGGTCGTTTGAATGATATACTAGAGACAAAGAGAATTAGCTTGACTAAGGTCTCCTATTTTGTGCTTGATGAGGCAAATCGAATGCTAGACATGGGTTTGAGCCACAAATTAGAAAAATTGTGAAGGAGGTACCCACTCGTCGCCAGACACTGATGTATACTGCAACATGGCCTAAAGAGGTCCGAAAGATTGGAACTGATCTATTGTCAAATGCTTTCCAGGCCAAGTTAATTTTGGTAACACAGATGAACTTGTTGCAAACAAGTCTATCGCTCAGCTAACTGCCAATCTTTTTTTTTTTCTTATTAAAGCAATTTAAACAGGTAACTTGCTATTGGCATTTAATTACTAGTTTCCATTGTGTGCTTATTTGTTTTCTAACAATGCTTAATTCTCTTTACTAGGAGCTTTGGACCCTACTTTTTCCCTGGAACAAAAATTTTTTATGGTCAAAGAAGAGGTTAGCCACATTCTATCGTTGGTTGGCTGGTATAACAAACAATTTTTGTAAAATGATTTGATTGTTTTTAACGCTATGCAAGGATTTGGAGGCTTTAGCTACTAAATGTGAACTTAGGGAGGAAGAGAGAGGTTCCTGTATAGTGGTATACTGCTGTAGGTATATATTCTCCAAAGTCTAAAAGGTTAATGGCTTTTTTTTCCTCTTTGGATTGCAAGTCTGAGCATTTTGTCAAAATTTGAACTTTGTTTTTCTCCCTCTTGGAAGCAGATTAAGAAACCATAATTGTGGCTTTCGACGACTAGATGTGTAACGAGAATAGTCAAGAAGAAAAAAGGTACTTTACCATCCTCTCTTTTTTATCTTAGCTCTGCATTTTCACCTATCATTTATATTCATTGCAGAAATTATAACTTAAGAATTTTGATAATACTGGAAAATGATGTCTCGTCTTCTAAGTGTATGGGTGTCTGGATACTTTTAGTAAGTTTGTTACTCCATAATTAGCTATGAACGTTGGTTGTGATTTTTGTTTGCTTAAATTATTAGGTGGAAAGTATTTTTCAGAAATTGTATTCTTTGTGTTTTTTGGTAGATAGCTCCCTAGTGTTAGTAGTTTTGATATAATATTTTATTTAAATTCACTTGTTGATGTACTGCTCGATGCATATGGACAAGATATCCATGTATGAATACCGAGAAACGTGGACTGGAAACAGCGTCGCCAAAATGTTAGACAACAAATGTAAGAAAATCTTTCGGACAAGATTATGTAGACATCCATGTATGAATACCGAGAAACGGTCGAAAAAGGCTAACAACTAACACTGCATTATTTCAAGGACGGAAGAAAGATATATTTAAGCTATTTAAAGATTTCAATTAGTGATTCGGAATTTGTTCCACTACAACTAGTCACGAATGAATTCTAAGTTGCAATTATAATTGTTGTAATAGAAACTCATTAATATGAAATAGATATTGTATATATGCTATAATATTTATATGCAATATAAAAATTTCGGTATAATTTTGTTGTACTTCTTAATTTTTTTTGGCAATATATATTAGTATACTAGAAATGAATGTCAGTTAATGAAATCTTTTATTTTAGTATTTTTAATATTTTTTTTAAAAAAGAATATGGACAAGATAACTCGTCCCCAAATTAGAAAACGTGGACTGGAAAACAGCGTCGCCAAAATGTTAGACAACAAATGTAAGAAAATCTGGACATAGAAAAGCGTCACCAATCTGTAAGGAGAATGATCCCATCGTAAGGGGTACTCTCCCTAAATGCCCTTGGCCACTTAAAAGCCTAGGAATTTACACTTGTTAGGGTGCAGTAGGATTTGAATTCCAGATTGTTTGGGGGACCTTGAATAAGAATTGATTATATCTTTACGCTTTTTTGTAAGAAAAAAGTAGGAGTCGCCAATGAGTTTTAGGAAAAACTCATAAACCTCGTTCATGCCTTTCTTCCATGTGGAGTTCATGGAATAATTAGCACAAATCATAAGTTTACCCATGCCCAAATTGGCCTATAAACCAGAAATGAGTTCGGGAGCGAGGGTACTAAAATGACGTTCCTTTTAGAGGGGAATCGTTATCCTAGCCCTAGTGCTGCCTCTACTAGCTCTTCCTTTTTTACAATTTCATCACTAAACAATATATGCAACGTGATACCTAAAACTATGTTAGTTGATTTTATTTACAAGCATTAATTCACGTAGGAATTACATCGTAATGTCGTTATTCTTATTTAATCAAATTCGTGAAAATGATAAGAAAATAAACAAGATTCACCTTGACTTAAGTGATCAACCAACTAATTATTTAATTCAATTCTAATCTTTATTTAACGCAAGATACTATGTGGAATTGATTAATTAATTATTTTAAAGGTGATAAAACAATACTAATTAGTTAATTAAAGTTCTTTTAAACAAGAAAATGAATGTGATTTGACTAAGTGCTCGGGAATTTACCACTTCTATTTGCTAGATCTCCGTTTAGAACACTTATGGACTCCTTCTTGTTGGGGAACCTCCATCGTAGTAACAAAGTATCGAAAGGGTGATTTTTTAGGACAAGAGGGGCTAGGTTGCACAAGTTCACAAGTATTTCACCAGAGTTTTAGGTTATTTTCTATCTGTTTAAGCCTCAGTCTAAGCTCGTATTTATAGGGAATGATTAGGTTTAGGGTGTCAAGCATTCTGCAGCAGCAGGTGTCGCGAGCAACAGAATGAGTTGCGCGCGGCATCCCAACTCAAGTGATCTGGTTGCGTTGCTAGGTGTAGCGCAACTAATTGTCTTGCTCGCGGCTTTATGGTGAGATTCGATTTTATATTTTCCGTATAATTCTTAATCTTTTGGGAGTTGCGCTGGGTGTCACGCGCAACTGAATTAGTTGCGCACGACTCTTTGAGATGCGCGCGACTTTTTCTGCGGCAGCACTAAGATTTAACCTAGGCGCTCTTAAATCCGTTATTATTTTTTAAGCATGGGCATAAGCCTAATTATGATTAGGGTTAGTTAATTGGACCTTTGTTTTGGCCTTTAATTTGGGCCAGTCTTTTGTGTTTTGTGGCTTAACCAGTTATCCATAAGCATTCTTCACTTTGATCCAACACGAAGATTGTTTTATTTATCGTCATTGCACTTCCTGTTGGGACAGGAGGCCAAAAGTAGATGTCTACAGTTAGCCCCCACTTTGATTGAATCTAGAATAGACGATGATCAAAGTAGTTAAGGAAATATATCCGAGACTCATTCTGCGAAGTTCTCTAAGGATAGAGAATATTTCAGTAATGTTTAAGGATGTCGAAATAATCCTTGGTTCTCTAAGTGTTTGAAACAAGTAGCTATTAAGGATAGAAAAAGTTTTCCCTAGTCTTAATGCGCTAAAGAATCTAGATTGATCCTTTGCAATTGTAGAATGCTTTTACAAATAAAGGTGTTCTGGGTGATGTCAAGTCATGAGAAGAGATCGGTTTTAAAAGGATAAAAGGGGAAGATTTCCTCTTAATCATGTCATCGTTGGTCTAAAGTCCCTTGATATGTCATTGAAACTTTAGCCTGACTTTAACAAATTAAAAGATGAAAAAGGGTTTTTAGTATTAGAGCTGAAATGGTCCGGTATTCGAGCCGGAATTCCATAAGATAGGAATACATGTCTCAAGACTGGAGGCATATATCCAAATTCAGTGAGAGGGAAGAAAGTCAACAATTCTCTCAGCAGTTTTGTCCACAAGATGAGTACACGTGTCTTAGGACTGGGGGGCACGTGACTACATAGGCGTGACATCGTCTCGTCGCTTCTTTATACAGGGGATTATTTCGACACCCTAACTGCCCGGTAAGTTAGTAAGTGCACTAACTACCGTATTTGCTCCCATTCAAGAAGTGCCTGATCCTGAAGGTTCGGAGCGCCTGTCGACTCGTGAGCTAACGCCTACTGTAATTCTCTACCTTTTAGTCCCGAGAGGTAGATCTCGCATGGGTTGAGTGAAATATTGCGCAACACCTACGCCGTACAATTTTGCGCCGTACGATACGCCATTTGCATTTTTACGCTGCATGAAAACGCCGTTCCTTTTTGCTTCGGACGTGAAAAAAGAAGAAAACCTGGACATTTGTAACGTCAGTACATAAAATGACAAACCTGTCTATGGGTGCTTTTACGTAAAGCACCACTACGGAACATTTTAAGGCACTCTTACGAAAAACGTTCAAAACGTATGCTTGGGGAAGGCACAAAGCATGATGTGCATGCAAGAATAATGCAAAAAGCTAACAAAGAAGAAAACAAACTACAATATGCAAAGCAATTTTAAAAAGATTTTGATAATTTACGCGCCATTATGTCTAATAACGAACAAAAACCGTTAAAAATGATCAAACGGATCAAAATCAAAATCCTGGTCTTTTAGTGACTAGTATCCGCGTGCAACTTAGAAGGTCGCGCTAGCCAGGGGCGCACATCGTTCTGAGTTGCGCTGGTATGTCATGTGAAACAGATTCAGTTGCGTGCGACATTTATGTCAAGAAAGTTAAAATTGCAAACACGATTTTTCACTTCACTCTTTCGTTCTCGTTCCTTCGCCATTTTCTACCTTTCTTTCTCTAGGAAGCTCGATTTTTTGCGATTTTTAAAGCTAAAGGAATCAAATTTCGTCCTTAATTCATATTTGCCGTAATCCAATGTAATTTTTTTTGCTAGAATTTGCTCTTTTCCGACTGAATTCGAATGATTTTCGAATCGTTAAACCCTAAATTTCGAATTTGGGGTTTTTTTTGATTTGGTTCATTATTCTTGAAATTGTTTGCTCTATGTTGTCATGCTATGTTTAAGGAGTGTTTTGCAACAAATTTCATGAAAAATGGTGAAGTATTGAACCTTGCATGAGCATTTCTTTGTTCAAGTTCGTGCTTGCTTTTTTTCTTCGGATTTTGCTTGATTTTATTGCTTTTTCTTGCTCATTTTTGTTATAATTGCTGATTATGAAGTAGATTATAGTGATGGAACCAATATTACTTTCATAATTCATTTTTTTTTTGAATTTTGAATTGTTGAAAAATGGCGCGAAACATACTCTTAGCTTACTCTTGCCATGTTCAAACTTCAAAATTGTTTGGTAGACGATAACCATATTTATGTTATTATTGTTCATCTAGAATTAGTTGATTCTTTGGGATTTTTGAAAATACAATTCCTTGAATACTTAGTTGAAACTGGTATAGGATGGCTTTTTTGGGTTTTAGAAGCCCCCATTTACTAAGTTTAACTGTAGGTATCGTAGCCCCCAAGTATGGGTGGCATTCGATTTTCGTGTTTTGCCCTATCGATAGCCGTTATGCTGCTGAAATGGGTCTAGAATACGTAATATTAGTTTAATTTAGGAAATAAAGTAAACTAATTAAAGAAACTTTATCCGTCATAGCATGGACTCGCCTCCGTTTGTCGATGCTGAGGAGATTCTCGGTGGTCCGGACGAGGCGGTTTGCCCTCGGAAAAGAGTGACCCGTCTTCGAGAGGAGGTTCGAGAGTGATGCATCGCGGCCGATCGACATCACCAAGAGGATATGGTTTGGGAGGCTCCTCCCAACTGGGACCCTAGGGTCCTTAAGTGGGACATAAACAATCACGTTTTGATCATAGGGTGACACGACATCGTGAGTTTTTCGCGCCTTTGTTTCTTTCTCTCTTCCTTTGTTTCTCCTTTTAAAACCATAACCGTTTTTTTTTATTCTTTTATTTAGAGCAAGCCTAGCATGCATTTATACGGCTTTGGTGACCCGCGAGCCCGTTTTGAGAGTTTGCCCGAGGTGGCAAAGGAGATTGTAGCACTTTTCGGGATTGACTCTCAGCTGGCGGCTCTTCGGGATTTATCGACCCAGCCTGCATCGTCAGCTTTCCTCCGTAGATTGCTGGAGTTTTGGTGGGATTCCACCAACACTTTCCACTTTCCATGGGGAGAGATGACAGTTATCCCTTTCTCTATGATTACGGGTTTTCCTTTCGGAGGTGAGCCCGTAGTTATAGAGTTTGTTAAGGGGTCAAACAAGAGATTACGCGACCTTGTGGGGGACCGTCTTGCGTCGGCCCTTCACGTGTACGCGCAGTCTTGTCCTTACTCGGTTCTTGCCAACGCGTTGTCGGCTGACGAGCTTGATCAGATATACATTGCTCACGTTCTTTCCGTCACCATCTTGAGTGATCGGGGAGAGCGTTTTTCCATTGGGTTATTTATTTGCCTTAGCGATTTGGGGCAAGTAGGTGACCTGAGTTGGGTGGAGGTGTCGTATGCCCGTATGCTTGCAGCTATGGGCAAGGCGACCTGGGTGATGGATTTCGCGGCAGCTACCGAGGTGCCTCGGATCTCGCTTACGTGGCATGGTTGTATCCTTGAGGTACGTGTTTTAAGCTTCTTTTGGTTATTACTTTTGCCTTTTCCTTTAGGCTTATCTTTTCATGGTTTCAGGCTTGGGGATACTCGTACCTGCCTTTCTTAGCCCCCAGGATGCTTGGGGCTACACGTTT